CATAGTTCACAGGTTTTAAATTTTTTTTAAGATTTATTTTTTATTTATACAATAGCCAGAAGTGCAGGAGGGTGAGAGGATTCACCAGAGAGAGTGGAGAGCAGAACAGGCAGACAGACCAAAAGCACAGCTGAGGGAAGCAGCGGGTGAGACAGGAGAGGTCTGCTGCACAATGTGGGTATCTCCCTGGCTGGCCGGGAATTGAAGCTGCACAACAGAGGCTGTGGACAGCTTCACAGTGCTGCACTCAACCACTGTGCCACCAGGGAGACCCCAGTTTTAAATTATTTTTACAACTATCATAGGGACATACATAGGGTCCATATCCTTGGTGTGGCGCCATAACAAATATAAGGAGAGAGATCACAATTAACAGTCTATCAAAACTTAATGCCTTAAAAAGTATATCAGAGGGCCTCCCTGGTGGCGCAGGCGGTTGGTCACAGCACTGTGAAGCTGACCACAGCCTCTGCAGTGCCGGTTTGATCCCAGCTGGCCTTGGAGCAACCCACAGGGCGAGCAGACCTCTCCTGTCTCGCCCACTGCTCCCCTCAGCAGTGTATTTCATCAGTCTGCCTGTTCTGTTCCCCGCTCTGTCTCTGGTGAATCCTCTCACCCTCCTGCGCATCTGGCCTGTACCCCAATTCTTGTATAAATAAAGCTTTAAAAAAAAAAGTATATTGGAATTGACAAGATGAAAAAGGAGAAAGACACCTGGTGATTACTTTGGTGCAGCTTATTGTAAGTGGGATAGAGAAGGTTATAGGAGGGCAGCAATTGTTGTAACTGGGTTATTCTTTACACTTTTCTCCTTGCTCTATGTGGAGAGCTTATTGACCCTTGAGGGAAATGTCCTGAGCATCTCACTACTTACAGAGCAGCTGAGCATGACCTACAACAAAGGAGTAAATTATGTCTAGATTCAGACATTCTAATCCTATTCTCCCTTTTGGGCTAAGAGAACACAAAAATGTTTCCTCTTTAAAGCAAAATTGAGGAGAAAAAAATTTCTTTCCTTCCATCTACAGTAGTAAATATTTGAAGAAGTTTAGGAGCAAATTGATTTTTTAAAAAAATAATAAACAAAACAGCCTTTCTATGCACTGTTCAGGGTCCCCAGAGGTACAAGGAGTAGGCTGGTGGATGTGGTTTCAGAATTTGAAGGATATCTTAGTTTCTTTGTCCCTCTCCCTTCTCCAAACTAAGATTTATTCTAGGGACCGCTATCGGCAGAACAACAAAATTTAACGTCACCACTGCCCAAGGACAAACATATTCTTAATAGAAAACTTTCCAACAATCTGAATTGTTGGAAGTAGCAGAAATGACTATGGGGAATTCGGTTCCATACCTAAACTCTCTACTTGGCCAAGACAAAGTGAATTTTATTAGTCACTTCAATACCATACAAAGGCACTCAAATTATTATATTTATGAGGAATAAGCTTCACTGCACAGCCATAATTTATGTCAGTTGCGGCACAGTCCTATTGGAAAAGGAATGAAAATCTTTCATAATTCAGAAATATCATTAAAAATACGTTAAATGTGATCCATAATACAAAATGGACAGTTAACAATATAACTGAGGGCAGGTACATGAACATAAAGGATGTCCTTTGGAAAAATATTGGAACATAAAACCTGTATGATTCATAAATAAACTTTACAAGCAATGTTACTCTGGGGAGAAGGCACGCTGGATGTGGATCACCCCAGAAGCACTGATTGCAAAACAACTGCCTGTTTAGCTTTCATTTAATCCATGGTATTGATATTGTCAACAAGAAGTCAATGTTCAATGTTTTAAAAGTAAACAAATGCATGCCAATGAAAGATATTTTGTGGATTAGGCACACACATTTTGAGTCCTAAAAAGTGCATTTTTCAATATATTAAATACATTACCATGTTTATAAAATTTTCAAATTGATAGATTACTGTTGTCTGTCTAATGTTGGTCAGACTGCTGAACTAAATAGCTATTACCATTTTGATTATTTTCTAACTCATTGCTTAAATCTTAAAACTTTCCAAATGAGTATTTCATATCCCATTATAATGAAATGACCAGATTAATTAGCACAGTATAAAACAATGACAGAAAATGATGTGGGCAGACAGGTGAAAACTTCTGTGCCTTAAAAACCTCATCAACAAAAATGCATCACAACTGTTGAGTTTGAATAGTGGGCTAAGTTTGTTATCAAGTTTATCCTATTTAATCTTCATAACACACTTATGAGATAGATATATATATATATATTTTTAAGATTTATTTATTTAAATATCCATACAAGCACTGGGTACAGTCAGAAGCGCAGGAGGGTGAGAGAATTCACCAGAGCCAGAGCAGGGAACAGAACAGGCAGACTGACGAAATACACTGCTGAGGGGGGCAGCGGGTGGCAGGAGAGATCTGCTGCGCCATGTGGGACCCTCGTTGGCGGCCAGGGATCGAACTGGCGCTGCAGAGGCTGCGGGCAGCTTCACAGCCCAGCGCTCAACCGCTACGCCACCAGGGGAGGCCCGAGATAGATATATTTTTACCCCTTTTAATCAGCTAGGGCAAAAGGTTTAGAGAGTTTATGTAATTTGTCTGGGTTCCCAGAATTGGTGTGTGAGACAGCTGGCCTATAAACTCCATTAGTATGACTAAGATGATAGGTGTTGGTAGTTTTGTTAGATAACTTAGAGACAGACAAAACTTTACCTAGGAACAAAGAACAAGAAAGAAACAAAGGCTAATGAATGTATCTGGAAGTAGCCCCAGAAATTCCCACTGAGATCTCCTTCTTCAGTCATTTGAATTAGAAGTGGTTACTGAATCAACATCAGACACATCAGACACATTCCAAGTATAAAATGTTTGGAATGATAAATGAGGGCCACAGGAAGTCTGAGAAAGGAGAACACTATCAATGTCAGAACCAGCTGGGGCTTTCACCCTTACACCAAAGCCCTTAATGCAGAACTGAGAAAGCCAAGGGTTGCAGGTAGTCCTTTAAACAAAGCCTAGTCTTTGAACCTAATATACTCCTCTACTTGTATAAAGCAATGTATCTCTCACACACTTTGATGATGCCATTTAATTTTTCTGATAAGTTAAATACCAAAGATGTATGTTGCAGCATATTAAAATATTGATGTGTTGGAGTTAAACTTGCATAATTCCTTTAATGAATCCAGAGCAATATAAATCCTAGAACTACATGAACAAGTTCTTTCTTAAGATGAGAAATTTTACTTCATTCCTATTTCTTCCTGTTCTCCTATTTCCATTCTCACTAAAGTGTATCCAAATATGATAAACTTTATGCTTGACGTTTTTTTTCTCATTGAGATTTCTCTGCAACAAAAAATATGTATACAATAATGACTTTTAAGAAGTCATAGGGTCACAGGGAATTTAAGTCTAGAAAAATAACTTCTGGGCTGTTACAATTAAACTCATTTGAAGAAAATAAACAAACAAACAAAAATAAACTCATTTGAAGAGCAAAATTATCAAAACAAACATTTAAAATTGTAGTGAATATTATTTTTAAAAAGATCACAATTACTGGAAGTGAATCTCTTACTGCGATGGCTAGAAATGGCTCTTTTCCTCATTTAGTTCATGCGGCCCATGGGTGACTAACTTAATGCCTAATACCTAAAGGAGACAGGATCCAGCTTCACAGTTCTTTTTTTCCAGTTTGTTTTTCATTAGTGTAACTGGAGATTCTTTGTTCCCATAAATAAAATGGAAAAAAATCCTTCCATTATAGCAATGTCACTCAATTCCTTGAACTAACTTCTCAGTTATGTGCCAAAAGTCAGTAATCCTTCATCAAAAAATTATTTTAATCATATATCGCTGACAACTCAATTAGGCCCTTCTGGAACTTTGCTTTAAGTAGAGAATTGTAAACCACCTGACTTGCAAATGGATTTGTGACCCAGTCATCAGAGCCATTTCATCTGTCAATACTATAAGCAAACAAAGTGTTTGTTTCTTTTTCTTACCCCTCAAAGCTAAGTCTACATACCCATGACACCTTTATATAACCTGGGGAATATGCACATTCAGTTCACTAAGTCTATTACACAAAAGCATGATGACAATTCATATTACATTTAAATGTTTCCCTGTATCTATTATCACTTGCAAACAAGACACATGCATTTACCCACCCCCAACGTACATACACATGCCCATATATACATTCATCATTCAACGAGCTATGGCAATTTATAGTTTTAAGACAAATTATGCAGAACTATTTCAAAGAATGCCAAGATTCATTTTATTTTCCTCAGCAAGACGGTATTAGCCAAACAATGCAATGAATTATTAGTAATACCCAAATCTATTCATTTATAATTTTTGGAAAACAACTAAAAGATTTATTTCCTTAGTTGAGTTTTGAAAACAGAAAATTGGCTCAAACCTAACCAATGTTTCCTGGCTAAGAACATTATCATCTCTTAGAGAGAAACAGAGACTTATTAACGAAGCAGCCAAGTACCTAAAGCAAGTACTAAGCACGTTTACAGCTTTAGGAGGCTGCAAACTGAGGCTTTCCTTGTTTCTGGCGCTGAATCCAAGGAACTGCCACAACCAGAAGCACTCAGTGGATCTGAGAGTACCAACAACTATAGTTGTTTATTAACATTAAACACCAAAACCTCTGGGAAAAAAAGAACCTACAAATAATGTGTGTCAATTTTTATAAGGGGAATATAGTTCCTTTTGCAAAGAGGTTGCATTTTGGTGTTTTTAGCATGCATTTGTTAGGAGCTTAAATAAATGAGAACTATTACTTTTTAAGAATGAAAAGCAAGAAAATGACTAGGAAATAAGAGCATAGAGCCTTTGCTAGGCACTAAAAGTTTAACACAAAAAGGTTAACAGTTTTAGTTTTTGAATTGATACCTTTATACATTTCCCCACTGTGTGCTATAGAAATTAAAGCAAGGCTCACCTCCCGCCATACCAAATGAAAAGTGATACTCACAAGGCCAAGTAGTGATATTCTTCTCTTTTCTTGCTTTAAAATCACCTTGACATGTGACATGATCCCCTCACCCTGCTTCCATGGAGCAGGGAGAAGCATTTTAAGATGGTCCTAAATGACTCACACCCTGGTGCAACCTCCATCTCTGGTGTGAGAGACTCCTGTGAATAGGATGTTCTCCCTTGTGATTAAGTTATATGGTACAGCTGACTTGAAGAGAGACCGAATTTCTTAGGTGGAACTTACCCAATCACAAGAGCCCTTTAGATTGAAACATCAGGGGGAGAAAGAGGAAATCAGAGTTTCAGGGTGTGAGAGGGATTAATTGTGAGGGAAATTCTCTCACTGGCTTTGAAGATGGAAAAGATCACATGATAAGAAATGCAAGCTGATTCTAAAGTCCAGAGCAACCCTGTGTGAGGAAGGCAATGAAATGAATGTGACCTCTTGTTGACCTGTGAGTAGGCGGACCCTTTCCAACACCCCCTCAAAGAATGTGTATTTCACTTGCTTTCCCCCTTTCAGAAGTTGCCCAAGGACATATCCCTGAGATAAACTGTGTTGCAAAGACCATCTGGGCAGTGCATGGCTTTAAACCTAGTTGAAACCTCTATATTAAACTTCAAGATTTGGGTGGCAGATGCAGAAAACTAAATACTTGCCTTAAGGCCACGGAAGACAAAGTCTCTTAAATTAGTGATTAAAACTCCCTCCTACCAATAGGGAGTGGCCTGCCTTGTCCCCATCTCTGTAGGGGTGTGGGTGGGGGGCTATTTGCAGATTAAACCTGAGTTGTGACCTAAAACCTTGGCTTCTAGCAGCCTGAAAGAGAACAAAAACCTCAGCCCGGCAATTGCCAGGAACTGGAATGTACCGTGATCACGCCAGACTGGAACAGAGCCCTGAGTGCCAGATGATAACACAGGCCATATAACACATGATGTTAGCTTTGTGAGATCCTTAGTCACGTCTCCTATAGTCTTACCTACAAAACTGCAAGCTAAGAAATGAGTACTTTAAGCCACTGATATAGCGGATGTAGGGTAAGGAAAAATGTCAGGCTTTTCTGCCCTCCCGCCATCAGGAGAGATGATGGATCCTTGCGGTCCTGAATGCATGCCTGATGGCGGGCACCTGAAGTAGGGTGTGGCCATAGGTAGACGGGATTCACCTAGGCTGAGACTGGGCTTTTAAGGGCGGCGACACGGGGATGCCAGCAAAAGCCGAAAGAGAAGCCAAGAAAGAAGCAGCAGAAGCCGAGAGAGAAACAAAGGCCAGAGAGCCCAGATAGAGTGAAGACTTGCTGGGGGCTGGGAGGCCTGTTGTTGCTAGTTTTTTTTAATATGTGCCATTCTCACTGGTGTAAGATGGTATCTCATTGTAGTTTTGATTTACATTTCCCTGATTACAAGTGATGTTGAACATTTTTTCATATGTTGAATAATTTTTCATATGCGTTGGCCATTTGCATTTCCTCTTCAGAGAAATTTCTTTTTAGCTCTTCTGCCCATTTTTTGACGGGATTATTTTCTTTGTTGTTGTTGAGTCTCATCAGCTCTTTGCAGATTTTTGTGATCAGTCCTTTATCATTAGTGTTGTGTGCAAAAATGTTCTCCCAGTTGGTGGGGTTTCTCTTTGTTTTTGTTATTGTCTCTTTTGCTGTGCAGAAGCTCTTTAATTTGATGTAGTCCCAGCTGTTTATCTTTCTCTTCACTATCACGGCTTTGGGTGATGTGTCTGTAAAGATGTCTTTGATGTGAATATCAAATAGTGTTTTGCCTATATTTCCTTCTATGTATTTTATGGTTTCAGGTCTTATGTCTAGTTCTTTAATCCATTTTGAGTTGGTTTTTGTGTATGGTGTGAGGTAGTGGTCAAGCTTCATTCTTTTGCATGTAGCCACCCAGTTTTCCCAGCACCATTTATTGAACAAACTTTCTTTGCTCCAATGCATAGTCTTTGCTCCTTTGTCAAAGATTAGTTGACCATAAATCTGTGGGTTTATTTTTGGATTTTCTATTCGATTCCATTGGTCTGTGTGTCTGTTCTTGTTCCAATACCATGCAGTTTTGATGATTATGGCTTTGTAGTATAGTGTGAAATCTGGGAGTGTGATGCCTCCATTCCCTTTTTTTTTTTTTTTCAGGAGAGCTTTGGCTATTTGGGGTTTTTGGTGATTCCATATGAATTTCATCAATAATTGTTCTATTTCTTTGAAAAATGACATTGGAATTTTTATTGGAATAGCATTAAATCTGTATATTTCTTTTGGTAGGATGGCCACTTTAATAATGTTTATTCTTCCAATCCATGAGCAGGGGATGTCTTTCCATTTCTTTGTGTCTTCTTCTATTTCTTTTAACAGTGTTTTATAGTTTTCTTTGTATAGGTCCTTTACCTCTTTTGTTAGATTTATTCCCAAATATTTGATTTTTTTTGTTTCGATAATAAAAGGGATGGTTTTTTTGATTTCTTCTTCAGATTTATTGTTTGTGTATAGGAAGGCTACTGACTTTTGTGTGTTGATTTTGTATCCTGCCACTTTACTGAATTAATTGATGAGTTGAATTAGTTTTTCTGTGGAGTTTTTGGGGTTCTCTATGTATATTATCATATCATATGCAAATAGTGATAGTTTGACTTCTTCTTTTCCTATTTGGATTCCTTTTTGACTCTACACTGTGAATAAAAGAGCACTAGTGTCTACTAAAAGGAAAATAAATTTACTGATGGACATCAACACATGATCCATTTCTTAGCTGCCAATTTATTGAGCCTCTAAGTGAACTACAGTGTACTTTGCTTATATTTATATTCTCACCAGTTTCATGATGAGATAGTCACCATTTCACAGATGAGAAAACTGTGTGTCCTAGGAATTTATATTTAAAATAGTTAATGTTATCCTAACCTTATATTCCTCCGTTATTTTATAGCTAAGTGTCTCTCCACCAAAAGTTCCATCGTCACACAACATGGACAAAAATGGCCATACCCCTGACAACCTCACCACTAAACCAGTTAATGAATTTTGAGACTTTTCATCCTTAGTTCTTAGAAGTTATGTGTTTGAATGCTGTTGTCCCCAGAGTTCACTAGCAGGCAATTTTGTTGACACACTGAAGGTGTTAATAAGCTAAACCTTGCTGCAGCAGTCGTTTTTTAGTCCCAGTTGCACATGGAAATCACCTGGGAACTGTGAAACAGCTGCTGCCTGGGTCCCCATGCCAGAGATAATGATTTAATTACGTGAAGTTGGGGCCTGAGAGTCAATTTTTTTTTAATCTCTCCTGGTGATTCTAACATGGGGCCAAGAGTAGGAACAGACGATCAAGAGTTGGCTCACACCCTAGCAAGGGATTATAGGGATTATTAACTGAACTGGAAACACTGCGAAAGGGAAACAATAAAAGACTAGTGGGCCCTGTTTTTTTTTTTACCTCCTGATATCGACAGGGCAGTTGGGGCCATAGCAGAATTGCTGAAAGGAAGATCTAGTAAATAAATGTTTTGCAGCGATGTTGATAGAAATATTTCTGTGTGCTTTTCTACTATAGGGGTCTAATTTTAAAAGACATGCTGTAGGGTAAGGAAAAATGTCAGGCTTTTCTGCCCTCCCGCCATCAGGATAGATGATGGATCCTTGTGGTCCTGAATGCATGCCTGATGGCGGGCACCTGGAATAGGGTGTGGGCATAGGTAGATGGGATTCACCTGGGCTGAGACTGGGCTTTTAAGGGCGGCGTCACGGGGATGCCAGCAGAAGCCGAAAGAGAAGCCGAGAGAAGGCCAGAAAGCCCTGAGTGAAGAACTGCTGGGGGCTGGGAGGCCTGCCAGTCTACCGGCCCCCCAGCGCCTCCACCTGCCATGTACCTGGTAATCCCAATAAAAACCTGCAAAACCACTGAGGACTCTGACTCCTCCTTTACCCGGTCTGCTGGATCAGAAAACCTGCACTGGGGTCTTCCTGCCGCTACACGTGCACTGTAGCTTTATTTAATCTTTATTTAAACCTGTTTTTAAAACATACTTTCACCTTCTAAATCACTGTTTATATTTCTCTTTCAATTCAGCTTAATATATAATGTCATACCTTTGTTTCACGCATTGGTTTAATTGTTCTCTACTTCTTTTTTCTTATTTTTTCTGTATCCCAGTAAAGTGTCTCAGTATTTTTTCTTTGTGATAATTTTAGCTAGGTTCTTAATTATTTATGTTTTAATGGGAACATTTCCATTAACAAAGAGAGGAATTCAGAAAACAAAGTAAATTTGCATATATAATGCCAACCCCTAAAGGTCTCTTACACTCTATAATCCATTCATACCTAATTTTCTCAATTCCTTGTAAACTTTGAATCTCTTTGCCCTCCAGGCTTTCTTAGGTGCTATTCCCTCTGCTGTAAATCAGTTCTCCCCTAGATAACTCTTCCTTTTCTTTCTGGTTTCAGGTAAAACATCAATTATTTTTAGGAATGCTTCTCAGATGCCTAAAATAAGAGTTTTTTTTTTTTCCCCACATACAACCCTTGCAACATCAACTGAAACCAAACATTCTCTTATCTATTACCATCTATATTTATTAACTGCATTTACCAAATCTAATAGAACTCTTTGCCACCATGTCATGTGCTTACTGCACAACTGGAACTCACTAAATATCTATTGAGAATATTAACAGTGTGGTATGTATCTATGTAATGTCCCAGATTTTGAATGCATATAAATATACTTACAAATGGGATCACACCATATATGTTGCTTATTTTAATTCAACAGCAAGTAAGTACATATATATATCTAACTCATTCCTTAACTCAATGGAATTCTTTTTATTTTTTTGTTTATACTCTATATTTACTAATTAATGAAACAATCTTTTACCGATGACACGATGCAATCAAGATGTCTGTACACACCTATCTGCTATCTGTATATCCATTTACTTAGAGGCCTTCAGGTCTCATTAAATTTAAAAAAATCATAAATTTAATCTTGACACATATTGCCAGTTTTTTCTTTAGAGGTTTTTTCTCTTTTTTTTTTCCAATTTATACTTCAATTAATGGCGTTAATTATTTTAATTTTTGTTATTTATTGAACGTTAATTCATTTACTAACATATTACTTTTGTTTGCTATTCCAAGATATCATTTATATTTATTTATTTTAATACACGTATCAATTGGGGCCTCCCTAGTGACCTAGTGGTTAAGTCTTACCACCATCACCACTATGGCCTGAGTTCAGTCCCCAGACAGGGATCTAACCCACAGGCACAGCAGACCTCTCCTGTCTCGCTGGCTGCTTCCCTCAGCAGTGTATTTCAGTGGACTCACCTATTCTGCTTCCCACTCTGTCTCTGGTGAATGCTCTCACCCCACCCCATCCCACACCTCTGGTCTACACCCCAGCTCTTCTATGCAATGAATAAATGAATATTTTTTTAAAAAAATACACGTATCAATTGCTGTATCACTGAATAATGACCAAAATAATTCATTTCTAAGATCTGTGAGGGTTTAATAGTGTAGAATAGCTCTCTATATCAAAATTTTAAATCTTACCTATCAAATTCATAAGAGATAAAGAGAGAAATGGTAGTAACAGCTTTCCTAAGGATTTATATCACTTAACTGTAACTTAATCCACTGAAAAGCACAGGAGCTATGACTAATTTTCATGTGTAGGA